CCGAAGGCCTCTCTATATGTTAACGCCGAAGGCCTCTCGCCTAACCATGACAGTCGCTTTCGACGCTCATAACTCAGTGATGACTGATCCGTTTCAAGAGTTCTTGGTCTCGTTTGAACTAAAGCGTCGAGTTCTTTCCAACGAGATCCAAATCAATTCAAACCGCTAAGAATTGAAAAAGATATGCCGGTTTTATTGTTTCGCCTAAGGCCTGCAACCGCCGAAGGCGAACATCTAGGGCCGAAGGCGGATTTCCCGCCGGATGCGAACTCTTTCCGCCGAAGTCGAACGTCTACGTATCTTCCGATAGTCATAACTCCCTAATTCCTTATCCGTTCCAGGCGTTCTTGGGCTCGTTAGAACAAGCGTGTCGAGTACTTTTTAACGAAACCCTAACTAAGTCAAACCAATAAGAATTGAAAAAGTTATCACTGTTTTTTTCTTCCGAAGGCGTTTGCCTATGCACAGGTTTCCACTCGCAACTCGCCTATGCGCAGTCCGCCTACTTGCAACTCCTTGGGCCGAAGGATTCTCTATATGTTAACGCCGAAGTCCTCTCGCCTAACCATGACAGCCGCTTTCGACGCTCATAACTCAGTGATGTCTGATCCGTTTCAAGAGTTCTTGGTCTCATTTGAACCAGCGCGTTGAGTTCTTTCCAACGAGACCCGAATCAATTTAAACTGCAAAGAATTGAAAAAGATATGCCGGTTTTACTGTTTTGCCGAAAGCCTGCAACCGCCGAAGGCCTTTCCCCCTAAAGCGAACATCTAGGGCCGAAGGCGGATTTCCCGCCGGGGGCGAACTCCTTACGCCGAAGGCGAACGTCTACGTATCTTCCGATAGTCATAACTCCCTAAATCGTCATCCGTTCCAGGCGTTCTTGGGCTCGTTAGAACGAGCGTGTTGAGTACTTTCCAACGAGACCCTAACCAACTCAAACCGTTAAGAATTGAAAACGTTATCACGGTTTTACCCTTCCGCCGAAGGCCTGCAACCGCCGAAGGCCCTTCATATCAGTAATTTCCGCCGCTCCTAACTCAGTGATGCCTTATCCGTTTCAAGAGTTTTTGGTCTTGTTGGAACGAGCGTCGCGAGCTCTTTCCAACAAGATACTAATTGAGTCAAGGCGTTACACATTGAAAACATTATGAGGGTTTCTTGTTTCGCCGAAGGCCTTTCCCTGAAGGGACTTCACCGAAGACCTTGCCCCGAAGGCCCCTTTCCGCACCTTGTGCCCCTTAACCATCACACTAACTCCTAATCTTGCCAAAAATTTCAGAAAACCCCAAGCATAATTTTGCAAGAATTTAAATCCAAACTTTTAACTCTCATAAGGGTAAAAAAACATGTGAGCCCAGTTTTGTGCTCACATTCTGCTCTTTGTCCTATCTCTTGGGACTGGTTTGCCTCAATCTCGTAAAACCAGATAAACAGCATGGCGACTTCAAAGTTAACACTACGGTTGGGTGGCGAAGCCAAGCAAGTCTTTGAGTGGTGGAGTCATTCAGTAGCGGTAGTAGCTTGGAAACTATTGAGTGGTTGGTAATCTTGAGATATTTCAGTTCTAGTAAAGTTCTACCATAGACAAAAATTGACATAGAGTTTCAAAGCGGAAATGGAGAGCCTGAAGTTACAGCCAGAGATAATTTTGAATACCTCTAGTAATGGATTTGACATATAGTTATATCCAAATCTTTCATCTTAAATGCAATCTTTAGTTAGTTTTTGAATTAACCACTTAAGATTGATTTTTCGTCAAAATGATAATACTATTAGATAATAAAATAGTCATATGATGATAATTAGTCAATTTTTTATAAATTTTGAATAATCACTTTAAATATCTAGTAATGATTTATAATTTCAATAATGCAGCAATTATATTCATAACATTGATGAATAATAAACCCAGTCTGCTAAAACTAGCGATGGTATTCTTCAACAGTGTGGAGATCTTACATTAGCTCTAGCCCACGCAGAGAAGGACCAACACTCCTATGACCAAGAAGTAATGGAACTGAGCGGTCGGGTTCGTATCACAACGCGCTGCATGTGGATTGATGGAGGAAGGCTTCTTGACTATATACGTCAGGTTGTCGATAGCGCGCTGCTATTTGGATTCAACGCTTCCCCAGATTGAGCGTAAGATAGGCACCGCAATAAAAAAGGCCGCTCAAAATCGCTGGGATTGAGGATGATCCAAAAACACTACACTAGCACCATTAGTTTGATGTGATTTCAAAATCTTTAAGTTCACAGTTTCTCTATATAGTCTGTTTGTATGTGACTCGATACAAGGTACCTAAACATAAGAAATTATGAAACTTACCGTGTCCAAGTTATGTATATGAAATTATGGTCATTCACAAGTAATAGTGACTTGAAGCTGGTAGATGGCTTTCAGATTCTTTAAGAAGTTTTTCAATCCCATGTCTGTAATATGTTCAACAAGAGAGTTAGAGTATTTCTTTACATTTTGTAAGCAATCACGTAAGAACTTCTCTAGTGAATGCATTAGCTTTGATCCGAAATTCGAGCGATCTCACTTTGGACTTTTAGGCAATAAAGCATTTGTAACCCTCATTTACTCTAGTCTCAATACTATCGAGGTAAAGCAGTTCATTTTTACTTTCCAACAAATCTCTACCTAATCCGGAAATAAGAAAAGTATAGATTCAAGGTTTTTTTTTTTTTTTTTGTGGAGTTTCATCAAGTTGAGTTAGAATTTCATCAAAGCTCTGCCCCTTCAAGGAAGTAAAGTAGAAAAGATGTTAGGGTATCTTCAACACAAACTCAATATTTAATGACTAGCAACATCCTGAACACAAGTTAAATAGCATACATTTTATTTGTTCAGTGACATAATATGATGAATGTCAGATGAATGATCTTTAATCTGATACAATTTCCATTTTCTTATTATAATCAATAATTTAAAAAAGAATCCGCTACCCAATCTTAAAATTCAGATTGCAATCATTAGAGTAGGTCACTTTTATCATCTTGACTGATTCTATACAAGATTCGAGTGTGCATTCGCGAATTTGTTGCAAAGGGAAAATTTTCATTTTATGAGTATGTTACATCTAGGTCTTCTACATGATTGATTCTATGAATACTACGTACAAAGCTTCGATCATCGAGTGCATCCATGGATAACATCTATGGAATAAATGAGTTCCAAATATAACATGAAGAAATATAATGGTAGAATGAAAATGAGTCTTATTACAGGTCCAAAAAGTGTTATTAAGCTATCTAAAACATGTACACTCAGAAACAGCATGCTTAAAATTCACATTCAAAACATCTGATCTGGATAATTATGAAGAATCATGCTATGCCCATGCCATTGCTTCATAAACTATGGACTCTAAAACATAGAATTGATGCATTGATATATGAAAGTGGTGCATTATCACAATCTAACAGTCATATTGCTATAAAGATTAGATATAACTCTAAACGCGCTCTCATGCCTATGGATGTATATATCGACCAGGTCATAAATGGCTCGTCCTCTACCTACTCTTTTGTATGGAATGATAGAATTCAAGATAGAGCTGATTAACCAACCTAATGTCATGATTGTGATTTTTCATACAAGAAGCCAACGAGCACATAGCATATGATTATTAAGTTACAATTGAAGTTATCCTGATTATGCCACCTCCTTGAAACAATCAGAAATATTGAATACTTGAAGTGTAACTTCGAGTTGCCTACAACTACAAGCCAAAAAGAATCTTGAAGATGTGGATATGCCCATCTACAAAGAAGAAATTTAATTGTTTAGATATCATTACCCTTTGTGCTGATATCCAAGTTTAATAATGAAGTGTAATTTTATTGAACAAAATTTAAAGACGTATTTAAATTTTAGGCTAATAATAAAGTGATTAAAAAATATATTAAATATCAGTGTAAAATGTTCATGTAACATATGAGCGAGTATGTATTTCGTTGCCAAATTTTGCGAAATTGCACGAAGATGATTCGTATTCCAAAAAAATTTCAAAAATATGAAGAAATTCTTTTATGAAAATTATGATGAAATAATTTGAAAGAAGAAAACCGATAGTTAATTTTTCTTGCACTCTCATCAATTTCAGTAGATCAAAAAGAAGTAGATAAAATTTAGTAGTTCATGCCAAAAATAAGACACTAATTTAATTCATTGTCACAAATTGAACAGAAGTCGAAAATTCAATTTGAATCTAGAACATTGGATAGATTTTATCAATAGATGTCACAATAAAATAAAATATTCCATTGTTCAAAAAATAAATTAATACTTACATTAGTTCATTGATGTTAAAATGAAAAATCAATAAATTTTAATAGATTTACTCTCATTTTTTCTTTTAATGGAAGAGTAAAAATGAATCATAGTTAGATACAAGGATGTGATTGAGTATAAAATAACATGCTTAATTTAATCTCATTCCAAGAATGTTATGAATGGAACAATATAATTTTAAGTTGGATTGAAGAAAAAATGGTAAAATTTTACAATTTTTAATTTCAAAATAAAATTTCACGTTTTTTGAAGAATTAAAAATTAAATTTTCAACACATCAAATTCCAAAATTCTGTACTTTTTAAAGAAAATAAGCTAGAATTATGCAAATCTTTAATAAAGTTGATATTTTAAATGTTTAATCTATCTAACATATTTTCCGATATGAGACATATTTTATTTTATTTCGCATCTCACGGTGTCTCGAACCTTGACTGACTGCAAGGGCCTAATGACAGGGTTCTCCCCTAAATATATAAGGCTATTGCCGATAACAAAGCTGCTCAAGCCAAACAAACAGGACAGCCAGAACAAGGGCAACACATTACAGCTTGCGGGCTCATTGTTGTGGATGCGCAGTTACACAATCCACGCGATCAACTCTAACATCTGCTTATGACTAGAAACCATAAGCAGAGCTGTGCTTATGGCACAACTGTGAGATAAAATCCCTACCCAATACTGTGATTGGCAGCAGCGGAAACCTGGACACGTCAGTGTCATTGCCTCGATTTGCGATGCAAATGCTGCCCGTGAAAAATTTTAGACGCCACCTGAAATGACATTTAGTGGTAGTTCCCTTGTACACACGGGTGGTGTCATAGATGAATGCAGTGATAGATTCACTGAATATATCTATAAAGCAGTCCGTGTGGACTGATGAGCTCATATTGTTCGTGTTTCGAATGCGCTGGCGATTGTGGCTTGCAGGAGGTGTAACGAGGAGTAGAGGAGAGGCTGTGGGAATTCGGGAACGACGGGGTTAAAAGATGAACAGTCATGGACCGAAACTGAGTAATAACGATGAGTAGTTCAGTCTTGCCGCGCTGCTCGGCCCACAGCGCGGCAAGACTAATAGGTGGTCGTCGTACTTTCGATTCTCGTCGTTTTAGCATCACTTTTTCGAAGTGAGAACTCTTCTCGGTCCTTCTTTCCAAGGTTCTTTCGCAATGTTTTTTCACCCGAGCTCAAGTTAGTTTTCGAAAACAGGCGTATGCCAGGAAAACATCAACAGCAATGTGTTTAGGCGGAGTTTCTTTTCGTGGGAAATTCAATGAGGGCGCAGATGAAGTAAATTTTGCGCATGGACGAATTTGATTGTTTCTGAAGAAGTGATGGTCGGCCACTTCTTTCACGTTGTTTGCACATATTTGATGAAGAAAGCTTTACCGTAAACTGATTCTCAATAATTGGACTGCAGACAGGATGGCGCCGTCGAAGTTCAGCAGGGCCAATCAAGAGTCATGGCTGTAGTTACAGGAACGTTAGGTGCACTCTTTCCAGACCGCCCGACTGAGGGGTTCGCTTATCATATTTACGCATTTCTCGCCTATGGCAGACCGATCGTTTGAACTAGGTCGCCCTGGAGAACTTTCGGTAGGATTAGGACGAATCATCGACCGTGGGCTGAGGTACAATCTACTTCTCGCCAGTACTTTCTCAACTGGGAAGCAGATCTCTAGCAGATGGGTTTTGCTTCTGTGAACAATTCTTACACCCTGGACATATTTCTGAGCAGAGAGAGTAGGGCGGTGGGTACCAACTGTAGACGCTGTAATTACCTTTGTGCAGAGCTTGGTTGTGGGCAGCAAAGAGCTCATCAGCGTCCAGACTGATGGTTTTATAGATGTGTTCGGTGGTTCCCTGTGCAGAGGAACTGCCATTCAGCTTCAACTTAGGAGCGCCCGTTCTGGGGTAGCTTCTGCATTGCAGCAGGAGAGGGGCACTGACAAGGCCACGTTTCCGTTTGTGCCAATCTCAATTCGGGTAGGGATGTCAGGCCAGAGCTGTGCCATAAGCAGATGTTAGAGGTGATCGTTTGGATTGTGTACCTGCGAATGGACTTCTAATCTACACGAATGTACAATCTATCAAATACAAATATATAGGGCATATACATAACAAGGGCAACACATTACAGCTTGAAGTTCATGCGCAGGTATACAATCCAAGTGATCACTTCTAACAATAATATCAATGAAGCAAAATATAATAAATAATTAACATAGATATTTAGATATGTTCGTGTATTAACATAGACTTTAGATTTGAATTTGCGCATAGACTTTAGATATTTTTTGTTACATTGACATCCTGTTAGGGACCGGATCAGGGTAGACAAAAATGTGAGCTTCGCTGCAACCAAGCTAGGCAGGAGTCCAACACAGTTACACAAAAGTAGGACTGCACATAGGTGAAGGGACAGAAGTTTATTGGTCCAATATCTGGTGTTGATGTACTGAAGGATGGGGCAAACCTCCTTCTCTTCTATTACTGGAAGCCCATCTAGATGAGTTGAACTTAGATAGTCAAGACCGTTGAGACGTGGCTGCATCACCAAGAAAACCGAGACATTGTTGCACCTTCACCGAGAAAACCGAGACATAGTTGCACCGCCAAGTAACCGCGGTTGGGACACCTCATCCTTGTAGAAGGTAGTACCTTTTAGTATGTCTCGCCGATGCGCCCGTGACATTATCCCCTCTTCAAGTGACATCTTCCAGATGGAGCCGGTTTATGTGGTTACCATTGATGAAATCAAGCAATATCTTCCAAACGGAGCTGGTTTGTGTGGATACCTTTAATGAAATGGATTGACAGCTCTTGGATGTGAGTTCAAGTTTTGACAGGCTTCCAAGTGGCTTCTGTCGGTGAATAGACTGCCAAAAATCGAAATACTTGACCTTGTCGCGTAGTTTCTTTGAATCCCAAGACTTCTGGAACTTCAAATTTTTCTTGATCTTCGACTTCGATTGGAGCTGGAGGTTTTGTCTGCGTCCCGGGATTTGAGTATTGTGGAAAGGTTAAAGCAAGGAGACATGGAAGACTTTGTGGATCTTGAACTGGGGAGGGAGCTCCAACTGGCTAGCTATGGGACCAACACTACATCATACTTGGATACAAGAGATACAGATTTTGATAACTGTAGGATGTAGCCGCAATACGGAAGATTTGGGCAATTTGATTAACACCGTTTCTGGGATAATTTCCTCTGAGATCTAGCAAAACTCAAGCGATCATTTCACGATGGCGGACACACACGTCCCATGTGTTTGGCGAACTCTCCTGCAGCTGCATATAAGATATTCTGGATTGACCAAGAGATTGGGAATGGACTTATTCTAGTCCTCCAATATCTTAACATTAGCCCACTAGAGGATATCTCGTTGTTGTTTATTCATGTGCTGGATAGTGGACTTGACCTTTGACAAATTTCCTCCCAGGGGTCTTACTGATTATGGACTATCAAGTTCATCAAAGGTCGTCCCATGAGCGGCGTCCAGACTGCATTTATTTGTGAGTGAGATGTATTATAGAGCCCAGATGACAAGCCTCATTGCAGTTGCAGAGAGGATTCCGGGATGAATTAAGAATGCTCGCCAAAAGTTTTTGGATATTCAGTTTTGCGATTGGTTTCGGCTTGAGGCCACGATTTATGATTCATAGTTTGTCATCTCTCTTACAGCGTCTAGCATCATCAATGTCACCTAGGGTCAATCCACAGCAGACGAGTACCTCACTCCGCACAATGATGCCCGAGCTGGGCTGAATCAAGGCATACCGAGCCTGACCTGGGACACCACGCTGGAATCGTATGCTACTGACTGGGCCGCCACCAGAGCAGCTGCTGGTGACGACTGCGCTCTCATACACTCTGGAGGGCCTTACGGGGAGAACATCTACTGGTCCAGTGGACCGAGCACCCCAGCGGATGCAGTGCAGGCCTGGGTCAGCGAGGAGGCATACTACGACTACGCAACAAATTCGTGCTCGGCCATAGAGGGCGAGTCTTGCGGTCATTACACGCAGGTCCCATGCAAATTCTTGTCGTGCTTCTCTTGCCTGGTGTGCGCGAAGTTGTGTTTCCATGGCTTAAGCCGTAGTTTGATTTTCAGAGATTTTTATATCTTGCGAACTAACCACGAGCCCAGGACCTGTATCAGGATAGAGCTGTTCCGACAGATGTAAAAAAGATGATGGGCTTCACGCATTCTCTGGAAACTCATGAATGGGACGAGAAACTGGAAGTCAATTTTGTGTCTGTGTTTTTCCCACAGTCGGGCGTGCAGTAGATGTGATGAGCTTCGCGGGTTTTGACACGGGTCGCACTCTTTGCAACAGGTCGTGTGGAGGGACACAGCGGCGCTAGGATGCGGGTCGGCCACTTGTCCCTCTGGTGCCTTGTTCGTCGTTTGCAGCTACGACCCCCCGGGAAACGTTGTCGGTCAGCTTCCTTACTAGACTTCCTCCACGAATTGCTGCGGCCGTCGAGCGACTCCGAGTTTCATCTTTGCTGAAGTGGTGGACATATAGTACTGTATTCTCAATACTTTCAACACATGTCCATCAGTGGACAAATATCGAAGGCAAAGTAGGGAGGGGCAGGGATGAGATTTTCATAGGAGGGCACTCCATCGATCCCTGCCGTGAGGTTGACAGAGAGTGTAGTGAGAATCTTGTTTCTGAATACAGCGCATTGTAATTGCTTCTACGCTTGCATAGTACTGACTGATGTACTGTAGATGATATTTTTAAGTTTTTAAGTGGGATATTTTAGTACAACCACTTATAAGCATAACTCCAATCCCTGGCAGGGCATTGTGGTTGTAACTTGTTATCAGTCGTTGCGAGTAGCTTGAGGCTGGGAATGAGCAAACGTCGTCTCTATTGATAGCTGAGTGGATTTCAGAAAGCTCAATCGTAATACTGTACAGATATTGAAGAAGGAGCTGCGATTAATGTGAATCTTTTGTTTGGAAATCTGTATTGCTCTCAATTATAGACGAAGTGCATGGCGACCTTAAAAACTCTGGCAGGAAAACCTAAACATAGACTTGCAGTCGAAAACGGATAAAGACTGGAGACAGTCATCTGGCAATCACAGCGTCGATGCTCTCAGACATCGGCTGTTTGTAGACGTCATCAACGTGTGCATGCACGCCCCCTTATACGACCAACTTTCAAGCTTACTGCTCTACTATGTCTGTAGTGATGGACCCACACCAATATACGCTCTCCTAACAATGGTTGCATACCTTTTCGAGCTATCACCATTGTGGACCCGCCCTGCGCTTTGCTGTTGATTGTGTACAACAAGAAGCGCGTTTCCTTCTTGGACGACAAAGCAAGGACCAGATCTTTGTGATAGGTCAAAACCAGACTTTGAAGCCTGCACGAGTCACATGTTTTGGCATATAGAGCCGTCAACACATGCTCGCCAAAATGTGCGAGCACTTGCTGTTAATAGCATCGAGCCTTCTCGCAGTATTGAATCATCTGGCAGAATGGTTCCACAACCAATACTCCTTGCTTGTACGTACGTTTTCCACACGCTGGTAAAAGCAATGTGAAGTCTTCTTTCTCCAAATCCCTCATTACCTGTTGCAGTGACAACATATCAGCTAGTAACAAATGAGCAAAGTATGGCTCCATCCGTACCCAAACATGCATTTTTGCAAGCAAGTCCACTGGCAGTCATCATCTGATTCGCCTGAAACCTTACACTCTATTTTCCATTGGACGTAGTTACCTTGTCAAAAATTTCCAATCAGCAGCCGAATCCTTTTTCTAGGAGTACAACTAGGCGTATCATGTTTCTCAAGACCAACCCTCACACTCCTAAGTTGCTTCGCATTTGCGGAAACTTACACCTTTTCAAGTACTGGATTCACCATGCTAGTTCTAGGAGCAACCACACCTCTACTTTAGCCACCACTCAAACTCTGTTTGCCACGAGCTACTAAACTTTTAATCTTTTGACTAGTTGGAGGGGTGTAGCTTTTTTGTTTCCGTCGTCTTTCTCTTTAGCTTTTTCTTCAACTTTCTTCCCATCATCTTTTGACTCGTAACTTTCAGACAAGCCCACAAACATTGAAACCCAATCCCTTACCTTAGGTTTGGTTTGCGGATGACCATGTGTACTGGAAACTGACATCCTCTTGGCACCACCTTAACCAGAGGCCATTTTTGGATTCGATCCCGCTTTGGTTGTACTCTTATCACGACTAGCTAGGCCTTCGTTAAAAGCAGTTGGCGGCTCTTCACGAGCTAAAGCAGCACTTGCCATTAGATTCATCCGACTTGAGTCAATATTGAGAATCTCCTCAACTCATGTTGTGAAGATAGTTTATTTCATAATACATAATAATGTTCTTCAGAAAATACTAAAAAATAGCCCTCATGTATGATACTATTTAGATTAGAGCTAACTAAAATTAAATCTTTACCAAAACATGATAATTTCAAAATATATAGAGTTATTATAAAGATTTTAGAAACTCTATTTGTGCTACCCATGCAAATGCCGCATAGTATCATAATTTTTTGGAAATTACTCAAAGGAATAACTTTGATTAATGTATTATTTAGATTGAAATTATCGTTAATATAATATATACATATTCATTCATAACATGCTCTTTGATTTATCCAAATATCTGATCTTAAATGCAGAATTCAATTGGTTTTTGAATCTATTCACTTTGGATTGACTCTTTGTCAAAATGAACATGTCATTAGATAAAAAATTCAATAATGAAGTAATAATGATTACTTTATTGGAATGCAAACATGCCTATTGTCATAATAAGTACCGCAATTCGGAAATTTTGACTATTTTTAACCATCACATAATGGCCGTAGAGGAACAGGAAGATAGTTCGGCGGATAATTTAACCCTTTCTGAATACTATTAAAAGGCTAAGGTCACATTAATTACAGCTCCACCAGGAAGTGGTAAACCCTACGAAGCTCTCTCTTGCCAAAGGTAGACTCACCAACCAATTACCCAATGCTGTGGAAAAAAAAAATATATTTTTCCCGGCATATTTATTCTCGAAATATTACAAATATTGTAAATTAATTAACTTTTCGTCATTTTTTTAAATATTTTTTTATTTTTAACAAAGTCATTTTGTTAAAAAATATTTGATTTTATTATTGTGAGCTTTATGAAATATTTAATATATTACCATGATGTTGTTAAGAGGTTCAATAAAAAAATATCATTGGGAAAGCATGTATTGTTTTTGATTAGATTTATGATATGGATTTAAATGAAATTATAATATTTTATTTCAAATTAAGTTAATTTTACTTAGAAGCTTGCTCTTCAAAGTAATAATATATCATTCTATGATTTAAGGCATTATTTTGACAATTCAAACAAAGAAACCAGATGTATATTATCTTACTCATATATTGATCTAAAATAGAAATTTTGTGTTTAATAAATCCATATCTTTGAACTAGATAAGGTAGTAGAAACTTTGTGTAAATTCTACTTTTTAAATTCTTATTTTCATTTTGCATTATTTAATTTTTTTTGAAATTATTGATTAAATGGAAAATAAAATAACAATTTCAAAATTTTACCTGGATATTGGTTTACTTAAGCTGGTTTACGTATGAGTAGTTAGATTGGTTAGTATGACATTGAAAGAATAGCTGGTGATAACTTTTGAGAACACAATTTAGTATATCAATGAAATAATCTTTGTCTCTCGGTGGATTAAGGTGACTGAAGCGAATCATGTTCTCTTAATTTGATTTCTTGGAATATATTTGTTACCGTGAATGTAGTTGTGTAGCTAAAGTACCATGTCTTTCATGATAAGTCACAAGTGCAAGCTTATACAAAGCAGAAAATTAAAGTCATTATATACAAGAAATGATATAATATAACCTTCATT